TGCCCCACAGCCCTTCCTCAGTGGGCACAGACAGGGGGCTGGTGGAGGTGGGGGGGCCGAGATGGAAACAGCCAGCCCCTCTGCTCTGGTCCAGAGGGGACAAATGGGGCCATAACTACATATTTTTTTAAAATACCTGTTTATACACATAGGTCATCAAAGGCAGGAGGGCAGGGGAGCAGATCCTTGCTTGCCAAGGGGAAAATAAGGGACCACACAGCTCCTACCTCCCACTTTGTGTTTGAAAACATGGTGGCTGCTTGATTAATACCTGTAATAACAAGACTAATTAAGGAAGGTGTAGGCTGAAGGCAGAAGGATTTTGGTGTCCTTACAATGATGTGACAGGGTAAATTGCCGAGAGCCCTGATACCAGAGGTAGAGATGGTAGTGGGATTTCTGTGCTCCTTGTCTCTGTCTCGTAGAAGAATTAAACCAAACTGCCCCTGGTTTTCAAAAGCCTGGATCCATCAGCTGACAAAGCACTGTGCAACTCAGTTTGCAAAACACAGCTCCCCAGAACCTGAAGGAAGCTTTTTCCCCTCTGAAATCCAGATGGTAACTCATGCACTGAATTAGGATGTGGGTTTTTTTTTGTGTGTGTGGGGGGGGTTGGACAGCCCACGTAGTGCTCCAGGCCAAGCTGGGGTGCCCCCGGGGAAGAGGGCAGGCACAGCCCCAGGAAACCCACCCCAAAACAAAGTACTCATGCCAGGCAGTTAAGCAGGCTGTGATTTACTGGGACAACAACACTTCTGCGACAGAGAACACGACTGCGCCAAGGCACCCGGCTGGCAAACCCCCAGCACCGCTGAGCATCGCCGCGCTGGGGACCCTGGAGAGGCGACACCGAGAGCGGAGCCCGGAGGGATGCTCGCGGTCCCCAGTACTCGTTTCCCTCCTGTCTCTCCCCCAGACACACAGACAGAAACAGAAACCTGCTGAAACACAGCAAGGCTGCTACGTGCCAAGGGAGGGTTTCGGACAGGCTCCGTGGGCATCACAGCCACGCCGGAGGCGACGGCGTGGGGTTCCCTCTGTAGGCACTTGATCCACGGAGCTGCTGCTGGCCAGATCCTGCACAAAAGCCCATCCTGGGGGCCACCAGGCAGGGCCCAACGCCTCCGGGGCCGGGCAGCGAGCTCGATGCCTCCCCAGTTGGCAGGGAGCGAATTGGGAGGCCCTGGGGGTGAGAGGGCCTGGCTCCTTGTGCAGGGTGCAGGGCGGCGATGGCAAGTGCCTCCACGCCTGCCGGGATCCCAGGCGGCAGGTTTAAGGAGACTCACCCCTTCGTGTCCCGGCACGGAGCATCCTGGAGCATCCTCCGACGCCGAGCTGGCCGCAGCAGCTGGGCAGAGGCACCAGCAGCGCGTACGGTGCGGGTCGGGGCTAGAGAAGCAAGAGCAGCGGTGAGAGCAGCATTGGGCTCCGAAACGGGCTCACCCGCTTCATCCCCTTTTCTTTCCCTGAAAGCCAAGAGGGTGCAGGAAGGGCTGCACCAATGCTGCACACTCGCCCCTGAATGCAGAACAAGGGACCTGCTGACTCCAGGAGCCCCCCAAAGTGCAGGGGACACTCATTTTGCCAATGGCTCCAGATTAACGGAGCGCTGGGCAGCTCCTAGGAGTCAACCTGCGTCTTGTGGGAGAGCTGAGGGGTCAGAAACCAGCTCAGCAGTAACCCCGGGAGGGCTGAGAGCCCTGCACTGGTAAAGTCACAGGGACCAGAGGGTGTTGTGGTGGGCAGGGAGCTGAAGAAAGGCAGAAAACAAGAGGTAGGTTTTGCTCATGAGCTAAAATACTCCTGATCCCCACCAGCTCTGCTCAGAAAAAAGCAAAACACTTGATGTAAAGCAGATTCCTGCTCACGACGCTTTGCTAGGGAATGGAGGGGATGCTTTCCCCCATGGGAAAGTTTCAAAGAAAAGATGTTTTGTCTAAGGAGGAAACACCCTTTCCCACAGTCCCACATTTCCCCAGTTTCCCTAATCTTGCAGCTGGGCAGTTTTCAGCTCTTACACTCTCCCTCTTACCCGTCACCCCTGGACAGAGGAGCCAAAACACTTATGCCCATGAATGAACCGCTTCTACTTTGGGTTTTCTAAGCCCGACACAAAACCAGTCTAAACCCAACCAGAACTGGGGCCTTTCTCCAGCAGAAAAATAGAAAGCAAACAGTCCCCCCCCCCCCCCCCCCCCCAAACCTGGAATCTGTATTTTCCCCTGGGAACACCACTGACTTCTAGTAACAAGAGAGCTTTTTGTTGAGAAACGCCCACTCCTCCCTGTCTCCTCCTCTTCTTTCCATCAGCTTCTGGAAGCCACAGTCCTCACAGCACCTCCGGTGCCCTCGGTCTGCTACAAATTACAGTGAATAACAAAGCTCCTGGCAAACGCCCGGGTATCGCTGGGCTGGGCCGGAGCTGGCGAAGGGACTTTGCTGCACCATGGCGAAAGCTGCCAGGAGAACAACTCGGCCAGGCTCCCGTGGAGCTGTGGTAGCCACACTGGGTCCAGGGATGCCATTTGTGTCCGGTCACCTCTTGGCTTTAAGCAGCACAAACTCAAGAAGCAGAGATGGGGAGAGTGATGGCTCCATGTCCTCCTGGGGTTTGGGAGGGCTCTTTTCCTCTCTTCCCTTCAAAAGGGTTGAGCCAAGGGCAGGTCTGGCCATGGCTCTTGGGATAGAGGCTGCAGGGGCCCTGGTACAAGCCCACCAACTCGGGGGAGTTTAGAGGGCCAGGCATCCTTAAAAGAGCAAGCCTCCAAGCCGTTGGAGAGATTCAAAGGTCCCTGTGGTTCAGAGCCAACAGATCAGTGCACAGGAGGCTTGGGCAGAGAAGGCAGGATTCAGCGTTTGGGCAGGGAATAAAATTCCTCCATTATTTTCGTGCAGGGGATCTCTATTTGGCACCAAGTGCAAGGGGCTGGTTTCCTTAGCCCATCCCTTCCAGGTGCCCCTGCTCTGCCTGCGCAGCTCTGAAGGCACGCTGTCAGCTCCAAGGGGTCTCACAAACTCCCCCTGGGATCGCAGAGGGGCTGAGGGAGCCCAGCACCTCCTGGTCGTGACAGCAGAGCTGCTCTTCAGATGGTCAGTCCCAGCCCGGATTTCCTTTGATCCATGAGATGAGCATGTTGTGAGACGTTTACCTTCACCAAAAGACATCTGAGATGGCAGAAGCCAGGCAGGAGCCTCAGGAGAGCAGTGGCCCAGGGACCGCAGCAGGGGCTTGGCAGTGATTTGGGGCTGGGAAGAGGCAGCCAAGTGAGGACAGGGCAAGCCGAGCAGGCATCGGGGACACCTGGCCTGGGAACCAGAAGAAACCAGGATCAGAGGGAATTGCTGTAGCTGGAGGTGCTGCTCCATTTAAAAATAACAGCATCCTACTGCGGGCAGCGGTGGGTACCCTCCTGGGGCAAAATACCAACCGCTGGGCACAGGATTTTGCCTGGGCTGCTTCCATTTGCAGGGCTTGTTCTAATAAACACGGACTGTCCCTTCAGCAGAAGGGTTGAGCTCCTTGGAGGTGTTTCCTTGAGGACAAGTCCCTGCTCCTGCGCCCTCGGTATGCTGCCTGAGCCCCTCTCTCCCCATCCTCTTTACACGCTGCTTGGGTTGTAGCACAGCAGGTTGAACTCCAGGTTTTCATCCCAGTGACGGAGCAGGACAAAGAGCTGCTGGGCTGCGGCTTTCACCGTCGCCAGGCTGTATCCCTCCGGGAAGGCCTGTTCGCTCAGCCACAGGCTGGCCTTGGCGGCCACCAGCTCCCACTCGATGAAGTAGGAAGCCGAGCTGTGCTCCAGCCAGGCCAGGGCCACCGCCGTGGCCCACAGCATCCCCTCTGGCTCCGTCTGCTGCTGCAACTCGATGTCGAGGAGCAACGCCTGGCCCTCAGAGCCATCCGTTTTTTTTCTGTCGGCTCGCCCCTCGGCCGAGGCCGGCGTGTTCTCCGGGGAGGAGAAGCGGCGGATGGTGATGGCCGGCAGGGAGAGTTCCTTCTCGGCTTTCAGGGCTTTGGAGATGCTTTCCACCGCGCTGCCCGAGAAGTGGCGAAGGCGGC